GATTTGGCCCTCCCACACCGAGCTGAGTATGGCCAAACTGATGTTTGGAGCTACACTGAAGCAAAATGCCACATCTTTCTGAGAGGATTAAGACCTTTACAGGTGTATCTTCATGTGCCGTGAAGTAGCATTAATTTGCCTGAATTTCTTAAAATCTGCTTCCAAAAACTGCAATGCAAAGTCTTTTATCGTACTCAAGTTTTTTGATTTGTAGCCTGGTTCTACCTAGAGGAGAACCTCCTTTTTACCTGTAATGTTGGTAAAAGGAACAGAGCTCACTTTTTCTTTTCTTTCTTTATTCTCTTCTTTTATTTTAATACCCACATCTGCAGACACTGTATGTATGCATGCTAAGCATAACACACAAGGGGAATGTGTCTCCAGCTTGTCCAGTTATTTACCCAGAGTTAGTCATAATGTAAAGAAATCTGTACAGTTAAAGGGATGAAGGCCACATTATTAGCAGTACTAACAACATTTTGAAAGTAAAAAGGAAAGAAGCTATCCGGGCAGACTGCTGAACAGGCGTTGTGAAAGTGAAAGACATAGCGGCACTAGTGAGGGTAGTAGAGCACGCCTCTAGTCTCTTGGCCAGCCCAGGCTGAGCAGCGTTCTTGGTTTACCTCCCAGATAGCAAGACGGATTGCAGTTCTGTTTACATAGGGAATACTGCAATATATTTCCTACATCCTAACACTGTACGGATATGATATGAAAAAATCTGAGGACAGGATTGGTTTTTTAGAGTTAGTAGTGGTGTTTCAAATAGCATGAGAAATGGTCTCTATGGAAATATTTTACATGTGTTTAGGTGAATACACGCATATTGAACATATTTCTAGTACATCCTAGACAGGATGCAACAAGCAAAACAACTTTTTTATTTGGAAATTCATCTTCTTTGTTAAGGATCTAGTCTAATCACTTCTTTTGCATGGTCAGATCAAATCTTTAGGTCTGTACAGGGCCCTGTTGGTTTAAGTAGGCTTAGATCAGCATAGGTCGGATCCTTTGTCTCCAGTTTAGAAAGCTGTTCTCTAAAGAGGGAGCTCTTCAGCCCTAAAGGTAGAAGGCACTTAAAGCAGTGCTTAAACCTGTCTGTATTCAGGAAAGAACTTAAGCACAGCTGTAATTCTAAAGCATGTGCAAAAACTCTGTTTCGATCAAGAAACTTAATGTGTAATGTTAAACATATGCGGTAGTGTTTTGTCGCTCTGTGGTTTCTAGATGCAGGCTTGAATGTAGAAGAAAATTCCAACAGAAAGGAGCCCAGGCAAATTAGGGTGACAAGCTTGAGAGAGAAAATAAGGGAGGAAGGGAATGTTAGGTGACTTGTGTGGGTTTTTAATACGTTTTTGTGTTTTCATTCTGTTTGTTGACCAAACTGCATTTTTTTCAAACTCACACAGCATTATTTCAGACAATAGCACATAGTTGCCTAACATAACAAAAACATATTTTCTTTCTATTTAACCTTAACAAAATGCAGAAAAGAGAAAATAGTGGAAGTGTTTGTACTATTTTTCTTTTGCAACTGGATGATGGTGATTTGATAACCCAATATTTTCCTTTCCTTACAATACCAAGACTCTGTCTTGCAATTGGATCGACATAAGCATAAGCACTCAGAAATCTGCCTGTGGGTATTAGCTTGAAAGTCAAATAAACTTCATTGAATTCTTTGGCACAGAATGTGTGCCAGTTTAAAACGGCAAAATCCTTACTGGGCCGTGGGCTCTATAAAACTTATATAATAATAATAGAGCTCAGCAGAGTCTGATATTGCCTGCCTTATGCTTCCAAAAGCCCTATACAAATCAAGAGGAGGTTTGTCTATATGGAGGTAGGCTGGAGAAGAATCATTACTAAAACCTGCTTGTGAATGAACTTCTCAGATCCCATCCGCTGGAGAGCTGGAACTGATACTTCAAGCCTCTCAATATATTTGAGAAAAAATCAGAATATCATGGGCTTAACTGCAGTGGAAGTCACCCAACTGAAACATTATACAATGCTTTGAAATTGCAAGAAAAAGGTTCTAATCTTTTGGCTGTCTTGCTCATTGTTTGGAGATGAAAAGGGAGGAAATCAACATCCCCATGAAATACAATTACTGTAAGTTGCTTTCTTTTCATACTGTTCGTAATGAAAATAGGAAAGTTACCAGAAGTTACCTACTCTGCAGAAGCACAGTAATTCAGTGGATGTAGACTGCAAGAAGACATTCAGCAGCGCAACACTGGATTTCTATATGAATCAACTAATGGAGAATATAAACTATTGCACAGCAGTGCTGACTCTGGATTGCTCTGAAGTGACCAGAAGTCATCTTTGCAGTGGAAGAAACCAGAGCTCCTTAAAGTAAACTATAAGCTCAAGCTGAATTTGTACAGGGAGTTGATCCTGTGGCACCTGAGGATACAGAGCGGGGAGGAAAAGCAGGGTGTCTGCTCTCCCCTTCCCAGTTTCTCCGTCGGGATCTGGAGTCTGCTGGAAGCTTGCTCAGCCCCTTGGGCTGGCTGAGGAGGCCCTGAGGCTTGCGAGGCAGCTGGAGATGAGTTGGGATACAGGCCCAACTGGGAGACACACCACTAAGCTTGAAACAGGGACTCCCCGGGGGCAGCTCTGCCAGATCTCGATTGCACTGGTCCTGTGTCACTCCGTTGTGTTCAGGGATTTCCAGCTCTGCGGTCCCCATGGGACACCTGGAAACGAGGATTTCCCAGGACCTAGTGGGTGGCAGAGCCATTCTCGTTAGCAGGGGCGGGTGGACGAGCCTTTCCTCTGCCCTGCCTTGTGTGAGATGGAGCAGCGCATGCAGGACGAACGCCCGAGGCCCCAGCAGGCAGCGCTTCATGTCCTCCGGGTGCATCTCTGGAAAAGTGCATGGCCGCATTTCACCTTCTTCGGGTCAGGATAGGAGGGGAAGAGCAAACTGGGACTTACCGCTGTCATTGTGTGCCATTTGAAGAAATGCATACCAATGCCAGCAGTCATCACCAGTTACAGAACAACACTCCAATTTCCTTTTCTTTTCCTAAGGAGCAGGAGAGGAAGGCATTGGGAGAGGGTGAGGTCATCTGCCTCCACTAAATAATGCTATGACAAGCCATCGCTATTTCTTGTTCTTTTTTATCATACCAAAGTCCCTGGTCAGAGGGCAGGACCTTATTACAGTGGGAATTACCTGCCCAGTGATGCAGTGCTTTCAAGCAGCATGTCCGTGGTTTGCTGTTGTTATAGGAAGCATTGAGAAATCGTAAACTAGTATAGTAGGACCAGCTAGTAAAAATTACAAGCTTATTAAAAAATTAATACATTCTGACTTCTTTTAATTTTTCCTTTCATTTTGAGGGTCCTATTTTCAAGCTTTTCTCTTCTAGCTGAAAGCTCAGAATCTCTTGACACCAGGAACTATGTCTTTTACAAAAACGCAAAATGTTGCGAGACTCGTAAGAGCAAGGGGGTTGTGCCGGCACTGGATCCTGAGTGGTTCGTTCCATGTGGACTTTTATGCTGGCTGGTACTGTGGAAACACTTTGCCTTTCTTATTCCCATCCTTTTTTTTTTTTCTTCAGTTCAGCACTCTTAAGCAAGGCTCTGGGACAGGGATGGTATTTTGCTTGCACAGCTGGTAGTTTTGGGGTGCCCTGTGACTGCCAAGTGCTACAAAAGGACAAATGAAAATATAACACTGAATAAAAAATGACTATCACACTCCAGCCGGGAAGGGAATTGCCAGTGAAACTATCTCATTTTCATGCGTGGATAGAGCTGTGAAGTAAAGGAAGAGTGTGGAAAATTTAAGACTGTTTATGGCATTCAGGCATTTGCTTTTAAAACTTATGTCTTTGTGACTTCCTTTCCTCGGTAAGAAGTAGGTATCAAAAAGAAACGGTTGTCTCCAGTCTGCTTGCTTCTTCTCTGAGAAAAAAAAAAAAAAAGTGCTAGATCAGATAGGCTAGAAAGTGTCAATGGCTCAAGAATCCAGGAATGAAGTTAATGGACAAATATAGATGTGGTGTAAGCGGGGCTAGACTTCATTAACATATTTGGAGTTACACCGGCTTATACCAAGTCTGACTTTGGCCCTGAATCAGCAATTCCCCAGTGGGTAAACTGCATGAAACTAGTGCCGAATTTGGCCCATTTCATCTGACATCTGCATCCTGCCTCAAAGTGGCCTGTCACACTTACTGCACATCAAATCACACCTGCCCAGGCAGTCACAGGCAATTGACTTTTTTGTAAAAAAAAAAAAAAATTAAAAAAATTTAGTCACATATCATCAAGAAAAACAACATTGTTTTAGGTCTCTTATCTCTTCGCTCCCAAATATCCTGTTTCTTCGAGCTGCAGTGGCCAGGACCAATAGAAACCTCTTCCTGCCATTGGCTGACTTCATTTCCCAGAGTTAGCACAATCTCATCCGCTCTAAACAACCTCATCAAAACTTCTTTCTGGTCAGAGCGAAGCAATAATTATTATTAGCAAATATTAGAGATCAATAATCTTGATCACATTATGGCAAGCACTATTAAGGTAAGAAAGGGGTACCTTTTTTGTTGGACTTCTTTTCAGTGGCGTGTTCTTTGGTTTCCTTTATCAACCTAGATAAGTTAGAATTGGGCAACACCCCCACTGCCACAATAGAGGACAACAAGATTTCCTTTGTACTGCCTAGTAAATTTCCTTTTTCCTACTCCAACCATCCGCAAGGCTTAAAAACTTCAAACTCGGAAAAAAAATTGGTTTTTTTAAATTCACTGTTCAGTGCTGTGGATTGCATATGCGAAGCCCTTTTATGAGAGCTTCTGAAATTTCTTGTAGGTATCATTCTGACAACTTGGATGTGTTTGCGGACTGCCATAAGGGGAGAGGGTGTGCACTGGAAGGAAAGAAGGGGTTCCTAAGAACACTAACCTTTTGGATACTTTTAAATGTTTCTCTTGTTGATGGGGACACAAATATTAGCAAGCGGGAATGAGAGGCACCAGCTCTTGTTTCTCTCTCATGCAGGTGTTAATTATCTGCTTTTCTAGAAACTCTTATCCTGATACTCGGGACCTTTCTGAATGTTATTTTAATGGTGGCGGCAAAATCTCATGGGTGTGTTCTTTTTGTTTTAATTTTTTGGACAATAAAATTTTCTTATTGGCTTATAAATTGATCTTGGTGCATGGTTTGTTTTTTTACGAATGACTTTGCAGAGTTTTTCAGGTTGTGTCACTTAGAAAGTTGAATAAATCTATATGTCTATCTATCTAGTTTTTGCTTCTCTGCATGTTGCATTAGATAGCAGTTAGAGATACAGCAATAGCTGTGATTAATTGCAGAAGTATAACTGTAACTAAACGCTTTGTGATAGTGAAACTAATTTTACGTAAAGAGCAGAACAGCATGTACAGTGAGGAGACTGTGGCGTTGTATTATCAGATTTGGGATCAAGGTATTTGTTTTCTTCGTGGTATTGTGTATTTCTGTACTTTTCTAATTATGCCAGAGATTCAGTAAGAGATATGGAATAGCAGAGGTGCCTGGCCATTAGCTAAGTGGAACTGCAGTTTGATTTCTCAGTAACTTCTGCTTGGATGTTTACATTTTAAAGATGATTTGATGCTTTTTGTAATAGTTTTTGAAATCTGAAAGTCTTGCCTGAAGACAATGTGATTAGAAAAACTAATGAACTTTCTCTTGTTGCAATCGCTGATGCTTTCAAGAGGTTATCTGTGGAGACAAAGATCTGAATCTCCTCTGCATTGCTGGCCAGTATCTATTATATGTTAAGTAGCTCCTGAAACAGCTGGATTCCCTTTGGTTTTGCTGCACATTTCAGAGCACACAGGACATGACAGGCGCTCTATGAAAATCTTGAGGTTCAGGGAGTCCAGTTTTGCATTGCTAAAAGAAGGGCTATGTGCTGAGATAGTAACGCTGGTTTTTGCGTCTATTAATCAGAATGCACTGTCGATGCTGATGGGAAATTTTTTTTCAAAAATGATGGTAAAATGACATTAGCTGTTGTATGCATTTTGAGGAGCTCTTATTATTTATTTTTTGGTGTTTTGTGTTGGCTGAATTATAATAGGGTAAATGATTGTAAACAGTATCTCATCGTTATTATTTTACCTCCACCTTACACTTACAAAGGTGAGAAGCGACTGTGTGCAGCTGTGTGTTATGCAGCCTGTTAATGCAATGCAGTCAGCAAAGCCTCCTGAGTGGAAAAACGTACATGTTTGTCTCCTCATCTGGGAGTGTGAAACTTGCAGGGGGAAATAGGCACCCCAAAACATTGAGGATTTTGGTGCCCAGGGTGCTGGGAAGGCCTTATATTCTGAAGCAAGGATTTTATTTATGCAAGTGCAAAATGTAAAATGACTGGAAAGAAATGACAGGTGCTTTGTACTCTAGATGCAGGAAACGTACTCTGACATGAAGCTAAGCCAGTCCAAAGAGATTCAATTCCTCTTCTATACTGAGTACATAAAGGAGTCATTTAACTGAGAGGTTTCCAAAATAAAGAAATTCCATTTGAAGGCCAAACGGGTGTTTCTGCTTTTGCTAAACAGTTATGTTTAGCAAATGTTTTTTGCAATTTCAATATAATGGCCTGTGTTGTCTGCTGGCAAGGGGTAGCCCAGCTATCCCAGCATAGGCAACAAGAAACTGTGGCCAAGGAAGGTGGAAAGCCTTATCTGGGGTCTCTGTGCCGGGAATTCACTCTCTTCTTTAGGGAACCCGTGGAGTCATTAAATGTCAAAATTGGGTTGCGAATGGCTATGTATTTGTTCATAACCGGACAGAAATTGCTCTAAATGTACACACATGCAAAGGTGGCCTTCCAGTAAAACTTTGATTCATCCTTTTCCTATCACAAACCTGCAGACAGACCCATGGGACACTCGGGGTTCATGAGAAATCAGGCTGGCTTAACTGGGGCTAATTGGTATCTATGAGGGCAAGCATTTGTGTAAGTTTTCTGGCACTGGGGTTGACGCCACGAGCGTGGCTTTACCGGGAGATACGTCTCATCTCGTCCCCTGCCCTCCTTCTGCTGCCCTCTTCCCCTTCTCCCCATGACAGGGAAAGCACCGCGGTGGAAGGTTTCTCCTAAGAAAGAGGACGCAGCAGTGCCTTTTTCCTAGGCTCTGACATGGATGGCTTACTTTAATTCTGACCTTTATGCCGTAAGAGCGGCCACCCTTGCTCAGGCCGGGGACCTCTCCCTCTGACCGGGAGCAGGGCCGGCTCCTGTGGAGGGGCGGTGTAAGAAACTGCAGAGAGGAGAGTGGTGGGAGAAGGTGTGCGCCTCCACAGCCAGGATTTTGGTTTCACTACGCAGTCAGGGGGCTGATATTCGCTTCCCTATACCTGGTGTGCACATGGCTAATCTCACTGTTATGTTTTTTGGCATTTGAAGGATAAAATGTTTTTTACAAGTTTTTTCCAACAGTCAGGATTTCAGCAATAAGGCGACATGTTTCCTTCTGGCACAGGGAGTACCTGACAGATATGTGCAGTAGCACAACGGTGCAGGGCACTGAAGCTGAAGACTATCAAATCAATACTGCACTGCTAGTTATAAGCATCCCACTAGTTACTATAAATACAATTTTAGAAAATATCAAAGGCTTCTGAATTAGGCATCCATCTTTTTTGGTGTTTTTTTTTAATAGAATGGAGCAAAAATTACTTAAGTATTACCTTGGGATGAAGTAAAAATACTTATCCCGAAGGTAATTTTGTTTTTTTTCCCATTATCCTATAGTGGAGGAAAGAACATTAAATAGAAAAATGCAACTAGAGTTCTACTTCCTTGCCATGTAGCAAGCCTTGTTATATTTCTCTCCCTGCCTGCCAGTGCAATTATACTTATTCTTAGAAAAGCTATTCAGTAAGTTATCTTGACTTTACAATGACTTCTTGATTACACTTGTGGATATTTCTTTTACTCTAATTTACTTCTAAATATGTGCATGTCCCCTTTTTATGACTGGTTTCTAATGTGCTGGTCACATGGAAACTACGACTTCTGGGAGAAAAAGTCTGTGTATTTGATAAAGGACAGGAGAATCTTTGTGGTTTCTAAGGCTTGAAAGAGTATGAATATACTGATTAAAGCAGGATATAGTGGCAAGATTTTTTTTTTGTAGGAATCTTAGTCTGTGCTTCTCTCTGTAGTATTACTTTTCTCTCACTTTCTTTAGAAGATCTAAGAACTCACTCAAATATTTCTAAATCCAAGGAAAGCTGGAGACAGTTAAAAAAAAATAAAATCTGTTCTTGGCGTATGGAAATGTTTAAGTCTTTGTTTAGAGGACTGCATCTACACTGAATCCAACAGAACTAATACAGTAATTTGTACTTCTGTTCCTTGCATTAAAAAAATTATAAAGATTATTCTCTTTTTGTTCTCATCTCAGTTAGCAAATGATCCAATGGTATACTTAACTTTAAGCCTCTAAATGCTTCCATTGGCTTTGGTGATATGACACAACCCTCTTAAAGCTAAGTACACACCTGAGTGCTCTGGTGAATCAGAAGCAAGAACATAAAGAGTGCCTTAAACCATTTAGCCTGATCTTGCACTCCTTAATTCAAAGTTTCCACCAATGTCATGAAGATTTTGTTCCAATAAAGGCAGTAGAATCAGACCTATAATTATTTCCAGGTTAAATAGTATTCCTGACTCAAATACAAATGTACAATTTCAAGGAAGAAATAATCATATAAGAACAGAAGAAGATATTTTGGGGATTTTTGTGTTGTTTTCTTTTGCTTTTAATCAGCAGTCATTTAACTCAATCTGGTTTGTGGCTACATATGCCAAACCGAAGTCAAATTATAAGGATTTTGCTTTCCACAATTAAGTCCTCAGGCAAGGAACAACAGCTGGAAAATGCGTATGTTTGACTGTCTGAGTTGGTTTGTTTGTTTGTTTTTTCTTAACAAGAACTATATTATCTCTTAACAAAATGTTTTTCAGAGAGTTCCACGAGTTACAAAAGGCCTTTCAGAAATAATGTTAAAAGAATCAAGTGCTCTTGGAGAATGACTTGCTGAAAGATAAATACAGAAGTAGTTTTGAGAAAGGTGAATGCCAAAAGAAGGGATTTATTTTGCGAGTGACAGTTTATAATCCAGTAAAAATATATAATGCTGTTCACTCAAAAAGAAGTAGGCTTCATAACGCAAGTTTCTAAATCAAGCCGACAGAATTATTTTGAAAATCAGCAAAGTGGAGAAAAGAAAAAGAAAAATTGGGTTTCTATCACTTGTATTATCAATTTTAACAAAGTAAAAGTGATACAGTAGAAAATACCACATGCAGTGCCAAACCTTGTCAAGTTAACAAAAATCTTTTCATTGACTGCAGTGTGGTTTCTATCAGATTCATCATTAACTATTTAAAAATTAATTTCTTTTGATAGATAATTATACAGTAGAGAAATACTAGCAGTTTTTCACATTGTCAGTAATGAAAAGCTAATGGTCTCACAAAATGGCATGTGTTCTGCTAGTCATCCTGCTGTCCATAA